TAAAAATTTTCGAATAGTAATTTAGTTATATGTTGGCTACTTATGATTTGATTTGATTAGTTTGATGATCACCCTAGCGTTGCGTGATGTCGGGTTTCAATATTCAAACTCCGCCTATGATTTGTAATATGAATTGCCTATAGATTACTGGTCATATGCGGAGTTTGAATATTGAAACCCGAAATCACGCAACGCGACAATTAAGTTTTGGGTTTTCGGGATTTTGCTTTCCGGGATTTTGATTTGACATAGACCCGGGATTAGTGTTCCAAATCGGTCAAAATTTTCAAATCGATTAGTTGTCAACTTAGTTGCCGATTAGTTGCAACTAATTGTCACATGTTTTTGATAAATTCGATTGGTCAAATAAATAATCACATGTTTTTTGTATCAATTTGATTAGCTAAAGAAATTTAACATTAAAATTTATTATGTAGATAATCAATCAACGATTAGTTGGTTAAAAATTTTCCAGTCGATTAGTCAACTAGTTGTCAGCTAGTTGGTTTTTCAACTAACGATTTGGATCACTACCCGGGTAGCGATACATCGCTATAGCGACAAATTATAAAGCCCTTTTTTTATGCCAGCAGCTTTATAAAAGTTTTGGCAACATTATTCACATGATCAAAATTACATGAAATTCGATTTACGTAAACTCGGCAATTTTCCAACCCTAATTATAACTGATTGCTACTATAACCGGCTAGAGAATTTCATTCCATTTACATTTGTTCTCATAAATTCTGGGGCAACGATAAAAGCATTCGACCAAATTCGATGAGCTTTTAAATTCGATGTATCGGAATTACTGTGATGCTGAAAATTCATTGCGAATTCAAAAACTTATCGAATTCGGCCGAATAGAAACATTTCCGAAAAAAAAATATTATGGTACGTCATACCACAATTTTGTCGAGATTTTCGAATCAAATTTGTACTAGCATCCAAAAAAGGATAAATTTGAAGATATCTTGATAATTACTTGATTACGTTGAATAAAAAATTAATCGTTTATACTGTATATTTTGAATTTTGATAACTGGGCATAAACAAACAAATTTTATTTGTTTGATCCAATTAGGCATAAACTTAATTGAAATCCGCTAGTTTTAGCCTTTGCACAAATTAGTATTAGACTTTATAATTTAAATATTATAACGATAATGATTACAAATATATATAAAACCCAAATTTATTGCATTAAATAGGTAAATCAAATAATCTCAACATTATCGTTATATATTGGTAGTAACTAAACTTATTAAATTAAAATGTGAAATGTCATTATTCATCAGAAATCAGAAAGTTGCATCTAAAAATTAAGGTACGTAATTAAAACTTTTATCGATTATTAATTAAAAAAACTAGATAATTATTCATCAGAAATTTTTAGTGATTCTACAGATAAAGAATTAATTGGCTTAGAAAGATTTTTAAAGTTAAGCAGTTTACTTGTAAGTTGATCTTTATGACAAACAGGTAATTCGGTTGATGATGTTGGAATACTTGCATCCGCAGACTGAAATGCTTCTAATATTTCTAATTCATCTTTGTCGTTCGCAGTATTACGATATACTATAAGATACCATCTTGATAATTTTTCACAGACATCAGATGTAGTTGGTCTATTAAAAGGATTAGCATCCATACATTGGTTTGCTAATTGGATATAGCACTCAGGCGTGTCTTTAGCAAATTCAGGACGCAATCCTTTACATATTTGAATAGCCAACGTTTCATCATACTCAATATCATAAAAAGGAGGTTTTCCCGTAGACATTTCAGCCATAATAACACCAAAACTATAAATGTCAGCAGCTATTGTATATGGTTGTTTATTTAACACCTCTGGCGCAACGTAAGGTAAAACTCCGTAAATACCATTTTCCAAATCAGAATCATCCTTATTTCTCGATAATCTTAGATCTGCAATATAAGATACTAAATCTCCATTGTTAGCTTGATTTTGCAGTATATTACCGCTATGAAAATTCCCATGAACATATTTTGCATTATGAAATATCGATAAATTTCTTGATATATCGAAAAGTTGCTTTAATTTACTTTTCCAGTTAAGTTCTCTAAAGTTTGAAGATAGGAAATCACGAAGATTTCCTCTATTTGCATATTGAAACACCATCGAATATTCATTATTAGTTGTGTCTTGAGTCATTCCATACACTTCAAGATTATTACCCATTAATCTAAATTCCATATAACTTTTAAACTTGTTAAATAAAATAAAATTAATAATGTTAATAATTTATCTATACGTGATCGTAAATAATCATTTTAATAAATCATTTTAACTTACTCCTCTTAAAAAATTTTCTCGTGAACCAAAAGTTTTAAGTGCAACTACACATGATGGTGTACGTGATTGTGCGTATGCTTTATCTTTACCTGAAATTGCTCTTTTTCCATCTAGCCAGGTTGCTGAAAACACTGAGCCAAATCCCCCTTTACCAATGTTTTGAACATTATCTAATCTATTAAAAGGAATCCATTCAATCACGCTCTCATATTCCATGGCCTTAAGTTGAAATTCCTTAATGCAATTATCAATGTCATCGTTTCCACTTGTCCATCCTTGCGCTATTTTCTGAGGATCACATGTTTGACACCAAGCGAAAGAAGTATTATTTCGATCGCAAATGGCACATTTTCCATGCCAATTCTTTCTTTTAGAATTAAATTCGTCAAATACTAACATATACTCATTTGATGCGTTTTGAGTTAGTCCATATACTTTAAGTTTACTATCCTTTACATAGTCTACAAACTTTTTAAATATGTAATATATTAAAATCACGCTATTTACATTGTGCAACAACGATAAATTATTATTTTCACTTACTTCTTTCAATACATCTTGCGATCTGGTTAATATTTTAATATCTACTTTATATGATGGTATACGTGATTGTTTATATGCTTCATATTCATTTTCACACTTCGCATATCGTATTCCATCTAACCAAGTTGCCAAAACTCTATCGCCAATATTTTGAATATTATCTAACCTATTAAAAGGAATCCACTCGATTAAATCCTCGTATTCTATGGTATTAAGTTGAAATTCCTTAATACAATTATCGATATCCTTATTTCCACTTGTCCATCCTTGTGCTGCCTTCTGAGGATCGCATGTTTGACACCAAGATTTGGAAGTATTATATCGGTTGCAATTTGCACATTTCCCATTCCACATATCTCTCTTAAACCCAAATTTATCAAATACTAACATATATTCATTTGTGAGTGTGTTTTGAGTTAATCCATAGATACTTTTATCCTCTAATTGAACATGATTTTTAAACTTATAAAAATATATAAATATAAATTATACGCTAAGAATTAAATAAAATACATATAACAAAATAATATAAACTCACTTCTTTTAAAATATCTTGAATATTTTGTGAACTAGTTAATATTTTAAGTGTAATTATGCATGGTAGTGTACGCGACTGCGTATATTCATATTCATCATTTTCATTCTTATAACTATTTACACATCGTACACCATCTAACCAGGTTGCTAAAAATTCATCACCATTCTTTTGAATATTGTCTAATCTATTAAAAGGAATCCATTCGATTACACTCTCATAAGATGTAGAATTAAGTTGAAATTCTTTAATACAATCATCGACATCTTGATTTCCACTTATCCATCCTTGTATTATTTTCTGAGGGTCACATTTTTGGCACCAAGCTGGCGATGTTTTACATTGGTTGCAATATGAACATAATCCATATTCACAAGTTGCTTTAGAATAAAGCCCATCGGCCATGTTCTAAGATGATTTAATACGTTACAGGGAAATTATTCATCGTTGTGCTTTTTATAACACACGAGGTAGCTGTGCGACATTATTTTATATTTTAGTGTCCATAGAAACTCATTGACATAATAAATCCTTGGTTAAAGTTTTATCGCAATCATAATTAGCAGTTTCTATTTGCAAAAATTTAGATCGGTGCACCACTATATGGTATCTTATAGAAACTCATTGACATAATAGATTCCTTAGTTAAAGTTCTATCGCAATCGTGACTAGCATTCTTTGTTTGTAAAAAATTTAGATCGATATACCATTTTAAACAGATTAGGTAACAATATGAATATGGTACGAATATAAATTTGGATTTGCACACATCTTAATCTTCATTTAACAATGCACTTTGTTTCACCTCGTTCCTAGTCTATATAACAAAGTGTGTAGCACAAATAAGAGTTGCAGACTATAACTGATCATTAGTAAATTAAAAATATTTTTGGTATCATTCAAAAAATAATGATTATATAATATGATTATTTAATAAAAAATTTTAAATTGTTTACGAAGGATCTACCCCAAAATCCCATCCAGAACCCCGATCCTGATATGCATAATCCAATCCCGACAGTTCATGAGAGATCCCAACAGTTCATAATCCGAAACAAACAAAATTCCGACAGTTCGTGATTTAGAAATGGCAAAAAAAACGCTTTTCAATGATTTTTATGTCTTTTTTAACTCGATTTAATAAAATGTTTTTAAATCATTGTTGATTATGGCGTTGACGGTTAAAGCTGAAATTACTGTTAATTTCAACTTCAGTGTCGCTTTGAAATTTTTATTATTGATTGTCTTCAAATGGGCCATGCATGGCCTGCGGGCTACTCGGATCGGCAATTAGGGTGTGGAATAGCATATTAAACACAAATATAGTAAAGATCATATAGTAAATTTTACTAATTAAGATTTTTCCGAAATTTTTTGTTGATAACTTCAAATCTATTGGTTGTCACTAATGTAAACATCGGAAGTCAATTTATTCGATAGTAAATTCTAAACTTTAATAACTCGCGAACTAATAAAGATATACCCATAAAATTATTCAAATCATTTTAATGTGTCCTTTAATGTAATAGAGCAATTTCCATTATTTTTTATATAAAATAAAGCATAATTATACAACAAAAATCTAATTTTTACTAATAAAAAAAATCCAAAATTGCTCTATTACATTAAATAACATGCTAAAACGATTAGAATAAGTATAATTCTTAGGTATACATATCTTTATTAGTTCGGAAGTTATTAAAGTTTAGATTTTCTATCAAATGTTCTATTAATAGATTGACAACCAATAGATTTGAAGTGATCGACAAAATTTTCGGAAAAATCTTAATTAGTAGAAGTTATCTGTACAATATTTAGAAAGTCAATTCAACACCAGTGTTTTTGTACAACATAAAAAATTAGATAAGATATAATTATACGTACCGTAAATTCTCAAAATAGTGGGCATAGGCATTATTTTGAGTTTTGCCCAAATTAAGCTTAATTTAGGCCAATTTTCGTAATTTCACCCCGGGCGTTATTTTGAGAATTTACGGCTGGCAACAGCTGTTAAATCAGTGCCACTCTTCTACAATTGGTAGTAAAATTTCGTGTTTACTAAAATGCATCATTGGTGTTGAACACTATAGTAGCTACATTTTAAAAATATACTAACTAACATATCTTAGCTAGTATTAAGTAAAAATATTTAGATTTTTAAAAACCTTGTATTAATTAAATTTGAATATTTATATCTAATCTTTATTTTATACTATAGTTGCATTCTAACTTTAAATTTAATAAAAAACTTATTAATATTATAAATACTATAGATATAATTTATAATAATTGTAAAATTTGTAAAAAAAAATTTATTAATAACTAAAAAATAGTTTTTTAATAAAATTTTATTTTTTTTTATATTTGGTAGTTCTGCTTTTATTATTTTATTAGAAGTGCTAGAAAATTATTATTAACAGATGAACATAACTTTCTATGCTATATTTTCTATACTAAAGAAAACTTACTTAGCTTTATGGCCCAGGTGTAATACTATCTAATAGCAATTTTTTCTAATAATTAGCTAAAGTAGCTACATACTTCATTAAGAAGCTAAATTAAAGAAAACACAAGTAAGAAAAAAAAACACAGAGGTATAGAAGATAATAAAATATATAAGCAAAAAAAGAAGGGTAAAAGAATATTAAAAATAAAAGAAAACATAAATAAATATATCTTTTTCTGCTAATCATTAAAACACAAATTTTTGAAAACAAATTTAACAAAAATCTATAAAAAATACACAAAAGTTATTAAAAAACCAAACTCAAAGCCTTAAGTAAAGAGAAAAAGAATATCAAAAAACACTCAGTTTCTTAAAAGATTTAAGTAAAAAAAGCAAAAGCAGCAAAAAAATAGAAGTCATAAAAAATCGTTGATATTTTTTTTGTAATTTTTGATTTTTGGAGAATCAGCCTTGACTCTGAATTATAGATCTGTTTTAGTAATACAAGAATCACAATATATAATAAAAAGTAAACAAAAAAAATATATCAAAAATTACGTGACATAAGTAAACAATAGTAGTAAACAATAAGCAACAACAATAGAAAAATAACAAATCATGTGAAGCAAAAGTTAGTAGAATATTCTAGAAAAAGACCTATCACAAAAAAGAAGCAGAGTCAAAATTAAAAGCTCTTTATAAAGAATTAAAACAATACAGATAAGATTATATCAACTTTACAGAACTAAAATTTAGAAAAAAAAGCAAAACAAATTTTTGGATAATATTAAACAGAGAAATATTTCCAGATGAGTTTATTATAAAAGAAGAAATGCTTAGTCTTATAGATAAATTCAATATATTAATTGAAGCAGACTTAAAAGATGCACCAAGATATGAAACAATTACAAAAATCTACAACAAAAAGAAAACCAAAAGTTACAAAGAGGAAATAACAAGCTATATAAAGTAAATTTTAACAGAGCATCTCAAAAAAAGTCTGATATATCTAAAGACATAAAAGTAGTATTAGAAGATATCTAGGATATATTAATAGCAATAACTAACAAAATGATAAATATGCAAGTAGAGAAAATAATAGCAGAATATATAGAACAGAAACTTATTCTAAAAGAAATAGCTAAGGTATAAATAAAAAAGCTTTATGAAGAATTATAGCAGTATAATAAAAGAGAACTAAAGTATACAAATCCTATATTTATAGAAAGAGATCACAAAGTTTTTCATAAAGCAATACAAAAGGGAAAAATCTAGTTTATTATATTATAAAAGAAGAAATAAACAATTATATAGTAGAATTAAGAATAGCTGATGGAATAAAAAAAGTACTAGAAGATAGAGAAAAACAAGTTGCTAAAATAAAATCAAAGCTAGAATTAGGTTGGAGCAAGAGACTTCAAGAACAAAGAAAAAGCCAACAAAGATAGTACAACAAAACAGTCCTAAAGTCTATGATACATTAATTAAAAGAATCTGTCAAGACTACTATAGCAAACTAGCAAAAAATAAAAAAAAAAACCAAAAAAGAAAAAAAAATTGTAAGTTCAACAAAAGAGAAATCAAGCTACTAAAACATAGCTAAAAAG